CAGTGAGGGGCTGGGGTGTGGTTCAGTGGTAGAGCCCCTGCCTAGAATCCCCCAGTGAGGGGCTGGGGAATGTGGTTCAGTGGTAGAGCCCCTGCCTAGAATCCCCCAGTGAGGGGCTGGGGTGTGGCTCAGTGGTAGAGCCCCTGCCTAGAATCCCCCAGTGAGGGGCTGGGGTGTGGTTCAGTGGTAGAGTCCCTGCCTAGAATCCCCCAGTGAGGGGCTGGGGAATGTGGTTCAGTGGTAGAGCCTACCGTGTGTGAGGAGCTAGAGTCAATCAACGGTATGAGGCAGAGCCAGCAATCTGTCCTAGATCATCTGAAGAGACCCCTTACCCCATGGTAGACAGGCAGCAGAGACAAGAATGGCCTCCTAAGGCACACCAAATAACTTCCTTAACTTGTCCCACCCTCTGCTTTCACCACTACCTCCCGATAAAGCCACCATATGAACCCACTAAGGGATTAACCCATTGACTGAGCCTTCAGGATCCAGTCACTTCCCCAAAGCCCAACAATCTAAAACCGAATTCTTAATATCCCCTGTTGGATAGTTCACACTCAAACTATAGCAAGTGGTGAGTAGACAAGGGCCTGCTGTTTTGGGACCTCTCCGAGGGGGGCAAGCTGTAAATACTAAGGTCCATTAATTAAGGCTAAGCAGGAGGCTGGGGGTGTGGCTCAGAGGGTGGCAAGTGTGTTGAGAATTCACAGGGTCCTGAGTTCAGTCCCCAGCACTGCATTAACTGTGTGGTGATGCCGGCACATGTGGAAACCCAGGAGTCGGGAGATGGAGGCGGGAGGATCAGAAGTTCAAGGCCATTTGGGGCCACAAAGGAATTTGAGCTAGCCTGGGATACATGAGATGTTTTATAAAGAAAGAAAAGCAGGAGCTAGGAATGCTAGTGCATACCTAAAAACCTCAGCTCCCCAGAAGCTGAAGTAGGAACGGTGAGCTGCACATTGAGACTTTTACAACCAAAGCTACAGAGGATACGATAACCGTATGTGACAGACAGAGCCGTCCATGATACACCGTTTGAGATGGTGGGTGTGAACAGGGATGAACAAGTTGCACACAAATTCCACAGAGCAGGAGACAAAAGACTGATGAGTCCTGGTAGTCCTGCCCCTCCCACCCCCACCCCCACCCCCAAAAAAAAATTCTGTTCCAGCTCTGATGGGAAACACCTGGAGAGCTTTAAGCACTGGCCTGCCGCGGGTGGGGGGTGGGGTGGGGGTGTGTGTGTGTCCTAGTTTCATTGAAACAAAACAATAACAGAATCCTGTTACTGTGCTGGGAGTGATTTCAGTCAGAAGGAGGGCTAGGTGGGGCTAGGAGCATGCCTGGGAGGAGTTCAAGGTTGGCTCCATGAGACTCTCTGTCTTGCAAACAAAACTGGGGGTCCTGAGGATGTAGCTCAGCACTTCCTCAGTATGCAGGAGACCCTTCATTGCATCCCCACCCCTGTATAAAAGGCATGGTGGCTCAGGCCTGTAAACCTTTGGGAGATGGAGGTAGGAGGATCAGGAGTTCAAGGCCAGCTTGAGCTACATGGGACTCTATCAACAACAACAACCAAATCAAAAGGGGAAGTCAGCACTATGGGCATGGAATTTTCCCGACTGTGTCCACAGCGATGGTGAGCTAGGCTTGGGGGCAGGGGGACATCAAGAAGCCACGGTGAAAAGAAGAGAGGAATCTGAGCTGAAGTCGCACTGCTGTATATTGGACAGCTTTTAGGTGAGAGGAATCAGAGGTTCTCTTTTGGACGTGCCCATCTGGTGATGCCTCTGGAAATCCAAGTCAGGGTGTCAGGTAGCCAGTTGGTTAAAGATGAGATTGGTGCAGAGGTCATGGACATGCAAGTTTTAGTAATGTCAGCACACAGAAGCCATTTAATGCCACAGAATGGGATAACTTGGAAAGGTAATGTGGATAGAGTCATGACTCTGGTCTAGAAATTTGGGAACACCTAAGTTATCTCTATGAGAGGAAGTGACCGGGGGGGGGGGGGGGGCGGTAAACAGAAAGACAGACCAGACCCTCTCACAGGGCAAAAGAAGTGTGGCTCAAGGGTAGATCACCTGCCTAGAATCCCCCAGTGAGGGCCTGGGGTGTGGCTCAGTGGTGGAGCTCCTGCCTGGAATCTCCCAGTGAGGGGCTGGGGGTCTGGCTCAGGGCTCGAGCACTTGCCCTCGGTTGAATCCCTAGCACAAAAGGAAGAAGGGAAAGAAGGAAGGGTGGAAAGTACATAATGTTTTATGAAGCAAGAAGTCAGCCATCTGTGCCCAGTGCTGCTGAGAGCTGGAAAAAGATAAGGAAGACTAGAAGGTTTGTTAAATGGACAGTGGTACAAGCTCAGTAAGAGATGACTTCTCTCCGATTTCAGAGACGAAAGTCTGGATCCAGCATTGGGGGAGGTGGAGGGGGGGAGGGGAAAGAAGAGGGAAATAGAATCCAAGCAATTATTATCTTGGAATAAAAATGATACAGAGCTGGGTGTAGTGGTGCATGCCTATAATCCAGGCACAAAAGAGGCTGAGGCAGGGGGCTGACACAGTTCAAGGCCTGCCTAAGCTTCAGAGCGGGAATGTTTTCTTAGAACAATAAAAAAAAAATATATTAAAGAGGGCCAGTGAGATGGCTCAGCAGGTAGCACACTTGCTGGCAAGTCTGACCACATGAGTTTAAGCCTCGCCCTGGACCCACATGGTAGAGGGAAAGAAGTGAGCCCTGCAAGCTCCTCTCCGACCTCCACACACGCACCAGGACACACCACCCCAAAATAAAGGTCATATTCTTAAATTTAAAAATAAGGAAAATGTACAGGCAAGAAGACAGAAAATACACCCCGAATTCTGAGTCACTGCAGCAGATGGGACTGAGAAAGATGGGGAGACCCAGGGCTCTGGAGAAGGGGTGGGGGTGGGGGAGACCAGTTCAGGAGCAGGCAGGGAAGAAAGACTCTTGGGAGGACTTCCAGAATGAGGCTGCTTGCTGTCCACTTTCCAGCTCCTGCTGTCGACATTGTGGGGCTTGGAGGCCATCCAGCCCCGAGAGAGCCAGTGAAGTTTCCTCCCTTCATTCATTCAGAAATGAAAACACAACTCAGTGCTCAGGAATGTTTTCTGGGGACTTGGAGATGCCTGGCCCTGTCATTATAGAGTCGTGGCCACTTTGTCATGGAATGGGGAGACGGGTAGCTAAGCCGGGTAGAACAGAGACAGATGGACACTGAAGAGAGGCAGGTCACATCTTTCCTAGTCTGGAGAGGGAGGTGTATATATGCCATCTCATCGCACTAGGATATTCATTCAGCCATACTTCCTTCATATCAGCCAGTTGAAGCGTCCAAAGCTTCTTCTACACCTGGCCTTGCAGTGGATACTGGAGAGGACCATGACCGGTTGGACCAGTCTAAGGGGAGAGCCAGACACACACTCACCTCCAAGGATACATTCCAGAGCAGGGACAGCAGAGGTGGCATGGTGTTCCAGGGGCCTGGTCCCGGCACCAGGCCCATCTGGGGAAGGAAGGAGTTGGTAAAAGGTGGGTCCCACCTTTCTGGGTGGTCCACAGAAGGGCTGAGAGAGGGGGTGAGGGGTTAAGAATCAGGCCCTGCTGCCATGCCACATGGCTGTCCCTGTCCGGGTCTCTGACCCTGGGGGAGCTGAAAATGCATGGAAGGTCCCTCAGGGGCACCCAGTCTAATAAATCCAATGAGGATAGTTGCTCTGCTTCATGCGTCCCAACCCCCCCCCCCCCAACTCCCTGAGGTCTGCCTTTTCTACCTTCTGGGGGACGGAGGACTCTTGGCACTGTGATTGCTCTATCCATTGATAACCAGGATTCTGGCCACGATGGCCTCTATCCGGCCTAGAGTGCAGGTTCAGACAACTCCTTTAGGGATATAGGTCCTAGCCCTCCTTCCTCAGACCCTGGAGCCCACCCCATCTCCCACTTCCTCCACCCTCCACCC